TGGGATTTGAAAAAGCGAAGTCTTTGTAAGTTATATCCCATAATAAAAATTTGAATTTGAGATCTTATTTTGATCACCCTTGACATGTGTCCACCCACTACCTGCCTCGGAAAATATCCTGCGCCGTAACAATCAATTTACTGGCATGGGTAACACATTGCCAAACCACTTGCTTCAGTGAGCAACCGGTGTTAACTAAAAGTCTGCGCTTAACCCCGGCATTACTTATCCGGTTGCCCCACCAGAATAGTATAATGCTGTGTAGACAGCGGTATTCAAACACCGACAGTTTATTCTGTTATCTTTAAGCCGAAGTTTCTTCGCGGTATAGCAGAACTGCTCCAACTAGACCTTTCAAAAACAACCGAATGTCGCAATGACGCCACCGATGTCTCAAGTTTGCAAATGCAACTAGAGCCTTCTGTAGGCGAGCTGACACCTCATCCGTGATGCATTCAGCGGGTGAGAGATAGCGGCTCATTTAACAAGGCTTGTCCACTTACTCTATTACTTCCCCAGTTACGGCGAGGAATAATTATCCGAATTGTTCAATTCGAAATAAAAATGAAGACATTTGATGCACAATAAAAGTGATGAAATTTTGCTCATTAGCAAACAATCAAAAATGATCAATATACGGTGATAAATGATTCCATCGCCTCACGGTAATCAATAAACAACAAAGATCAGCCTGCATTTATTTCAAAACAGTATTTCAAAACAATGGGTATATATAGATTGCACAGTTTGAAAAGATGATAGGTAACGGATCCATCGAAATTGTTTTCATCAAATCGGATAGAACTACTTACTGATTCTTCTCGACAGAACAGCCGTGAATGGTACGTGTGTTTCTGTCGTTCATCCCACGTGAGCGCCACATCCCACAACCGCGGATCAGAAACAGGCAGAAACCGAGTGAAGACATTTCGCATAGACACGATCGGTTTATTTGGATTTGTTACGGAATTACGGGATAGGATAACTCGTGATCGCACTGCCGTATTCCTTATCGTGCGTACACTGGATTTACCCCCATTTAATATGGGAATATGACTTTTACGTCCCATGGAACTATACGGGGCACCGGAATAGTGTAAACCGCGTAGACCATTTTCACGAACAGACGGTGGGACAGTTCGACCGTCAGGAAATGTACCTTTTGATCCATGTGGTGTGATCGAATCGCATACGATTTCGCTGGTGTTGGTCGACGATGTCGGGGTGTCTGAGTGACAAGGCATGAGCTGCGTATTGTTCGATCGATATTCCGGTGGGAGACGAAATCCAGCAATATTGAACATATCGGTAACCAAAGCACTCTTGACTTCGTTATCCAAAGTTGTGGCGGTGTGCAAACTGGGACAAAATGAATGCATTCAAATAAGCAATGCAGTTTATTTCGACTACTTGTTATTGCTCCTAGAGGTCTTCGGAAAGTCAATATATCTAAGTCACAAACTTACGAAACAATGTTTATATTTGGATTGTTGTCTATAATAGCTAAAATTTCAAGTTCAAATGACAAACAGTTTAGAAAAGCTAAATCATAATTGGAGAACGTAAGTGACAAAAATAAGTGAATGTCCTTGGTTTTATCATTTTTCATCAGAGTGTAACGGTGAACACATTTTTGACCGAAACATAGGCATAATTGCCCACAAAAGTCATGGCAATACAAAAATACAAGAATGTATGAATTCCACTCATATAAAAGTTGGTAAAAATTTTGACGTCAATAAATTCATGTAAAAAAAGTCAATTTCCTTCTATGTCATATCTCTCGGGATTTTGAAAAACTGCATAAATTTCAGGAACTGCAAAAGCATGTTAGTCAGTAGTAAATGCTATAAGGCAATATTAAACCTCGATTGAGAGAAGGCAGACATAATTAATCGGATCGATGAAAAGCATATTAATTCCGTTAATTGTTCCCAATGTTTCTCATTTTATACAAGGTTTTGTAACATCCTTTGATTAACCCGTCTTGTGTAGACTTTATGTATCGAACAAATTGTATTATTTTATTATCCCCTCAGCTTAATACAAGAACAGTGCATTCGGTATTTAGTTCTTCTTTAGTTTTAAAATTATACTTATCCCGAATGTGCTCACTTTTATTTATGGAAAATTATATGTATATATATATATATATATATATACAAATTCCATTTCGCCTGTTCGCCGAGCTTGGCAATTTGTTTGCAAACGTTTCATCACCAGCCGAGGTGACATCATCAAATGTCAATTGGTACGAAACTTGAAAAGTTAATATTTTTACCGGTCCATGTTGGTTTTCGATAGACCGTTCGCCTCAGACTGCCGTCGTGAAATCTTATTAGGTTTACATCGAGAAAATGGAATGCACCTTCCATTTCTAGTTCTGACGTAAACTTGATAGCATCGTGAGCTTTGTTGGAAACTTACAATTAGGCGTAAACGAAACTTAGTTCAATGTCTCGCAGAGCGCGCAGGAATAATTTGCTCGTATGACAGTGTAAACCAAGAATTGGAAAATCTCAAGAAAATTTTACTGAATAATGGCTATCCATAGCGCTTAATGAAAAGAAATTACTGGAGAAACCTCAAAGACAGAAAATAACGACGGTAGGAAGAAAGGAACTATACATAAGACTCCCATTC